GTAATAAATTTTAAGGCCTGAAAAGATCATTACAGTCATCCAGCCCAGCTGCCCACTCATCCAGGATGCTGAATTTCCTGAAGTCGTTCATGCCTGCCCCTCCTGCGGCCACAGCTGAGGTCCTTTCCTCCTCTGCTCTTGGAGGCCCTTCCCAGTATGTCACTGCCATCACCGTCTGCCGTGCCAGATGTCTGCTGTGCCCTCCCTGTGGCACCACCTCTGGGCAGAAAGAGCAGCTAGAGCAAATATTTTATGTAGTGTTTCTGGCAAAGAGAGATTTTTCATTCAGCTCTCCAGTGGTGCTGGCTCATGCTCTGCATCAGAGCTGCAGCTCCAGCAGCAGCTCAGCCCATGCAGCTCCAGATCCATGCTCAAACATCTGTTATGGGAACTCCGGGCAACTGCACAAGGAGCCTTGATTCTGCAGCTCTCACTGCTGACCCAAACTGTAGATCTAGAGAGGGCTTCACCTGGCTTGTGTCTTGACTTTCTTTGAAACCACTGATTCTTGGGCCTTACATCAGTTGAAGCACCTACAGTTCTTGGAATAACAACGTCCATCTACCTGAGGAGCAGGCAGGTAGAAGAACAACTCCGTTGGGAGAAGTTGGGGTTTCTGATGATGGTTCTCTGCTGGCCTCCATGGCCTTAGAAAGAGGCCAGTGTTACATTGCAATGGAAGCATATGGGCTGGAAATGGGAAAAAAGGACTAGGACAGACTTCTCCTGAAACATCCTGCCCAGCCCAGGGCACATCTCCATATTTGTTGAGATGCCTCACATCCATGTAGAGCCATGAATGGAAAAATAATGTGAGTTCCCCATCTGCTCCATGAGCTTATGTGGACAGAGCTCCAAAACATAAAAAATGGTTGAGTTCACTAAATATTTCTCTTTCTGGAGGAGCAGGTCATGACTCAGCTGGGACTGCGAGGCAATGCCCTGCCTTGGAAAGGTTGTGATGCATCAAGAAACAGCTCAGCAACCCTGGAAGGCATGCCCTGAGAAAGGAGGGAAGGGGGGATGCAGGCAGGAATTTCTTAACATCATCTTGTCCCCTGCATTTTGCTCAGCCTGCTACAGCTGACCTTAACAGGAAGCCCTATCTCCCCTCTTCACTCACGCTGGTGCAGTTTGGGGGAAATAGGTGCAAGTGTACTCTTCTCCTGTCAGCTCCTTGGCAACTGAAAGAGACAGTAACAGGTTGCCCTAAAAAGCAAATTCTAATTCCTAATATTGTATGTCATGGTTTTTATGTGCTGTGCAATTTACAGGCTGGACAAGCGAGGCCAGCAGAGCCTAGTCTGTGGCCAAGCCTGGCAGTGAATCCATCAGCCATGGAAGTGCCAAAGTGACAGGTTCACTTCATTAGCTGGAGGCCCAGTGATTCTTGGGCATAAGAAACTGGAAGAGAAAAGGCTGTTCCAGGGATGGGAAATTACCCTTTTGGATGGATGACCCTTTTGGATGGAGGACTATAACAGTGCCTGCACCAGCGTTTGAGGGACCACGCAGGCTTTGATCCCAAGTTCACATGTGCATCCTTCCATAAAGACAAATGGTGACCTTCACGTGAGCACAGACATCCTTTCCTTTAGGAGTGACTTCAGTTCTCCAAAGCAGAGCATGTCATGCCTATGTGGAGACATGCTCATTTTCCTCTCCCTGAACCAGCTGTGCCCAATGCCAAAGGCTCTTCAGAAAGTTACTGAAATGTGACCAAAAAGTCTTAGATGCAAGTTAGACCTTCCTTGAGTTTTCCATCAGGTTTATTTCTCCTTCCCTGCTTGCAACTGCTGCTTTCCAAAATCCTCTCCTGCATTTCTCCCTTTCTCGCTGTCTTGTGAACATTCTTCTGGGCAGTCCACTGGCCCTCTCCACTGGATCCTCAATAGCTTTTGCCCATACTGAACATTTCAAGCATTTTTACTTTGCAGCAGATTTTTTTTTTTGCCTTGGGTGAGAATACAAGGACTTTCAGTCCCTTTGCCTTTCCATTCTGAAAACATCCCCCATAGGTAAATAAGTCCTAAGCCTAAGATGAGGAAAGTCCTCAGTTGCAGAAGTTGTTGAATGGCAATCACCATTTTCTGATGCTGTAAAACAAGAGTTAATCTGTGTTTCCACTGCGGAGGGCTGTTTGGGGCTTTTTTTTTTAAGGAAGGGAAAAAATTTCCTTTCATTCTTTGCCAGCAATTTCCATGCAAATAAAGTTTCCCAGCAAAAACTCGGTGCCCAAGAGAGAATATTTTATCCAGAAAGTGAAAGATTTTCTGCGAACAATTGCAAGATTTTATCCAAAACTCTGAGAGGCTCATCCGAAATATTTCTCTCGTTGGCCGGAAACAAAGCGCTGCAGAGCGAGAGGGGACGGAGGGTTCAGCCGGTGGGATACTGCCGACCGGGAGCGGGGCGGGGCGGGGCGGCCGGCGAGCACCGGCCGGGGCGCAGCGCCCGTCCCGCCGCGGGGCTCGCTCGGTCGGGGCCCCAGCGCCGCC